AGATATATATATATATATATATATATATATATATATATATATATATAGGGACATACCGACGGAAGAGTCCTCCAAGCTACTTGCGCTTTGCTCTAGCGCTTGGTATTTGCTGAGCAGGGGTTTGCTGTTTTTTAGGCGTTTGATTTCTTCGAGGAGTTGTTTCTCTTCCTTGAGAGAAATTGTTGAAGTCATCATTTTGTGCTCCAAATCAGCAACTTTCTGGTCGATATCTTCCAGTGAAGAGAAACCAATCTTACGACGCAGATCCGTCGCGGATTGTTTCTGATAAAAACACATTTCGATATATGTTTACACACTATGCAGAAACTTTCTTACATCGATTGAAATACAAAGAAAAACACGAACTATACACGAACGCAAACGCACCACACATGCATAGAAACAATGCAAATTCGTATGTGAATGATATACAATTGTACTTAATTCCACTACAACATGTATTTCTTGTTTTTTTTATCTTTTGTGAAGCCTTTGTCTCACCAAATCGGCGCCCTCCTTCTGCTTCAACTGGATCTTTTCAAATAGGACTTTGCGTTTATCCTCCAGCTGATCGATTTCTTTCTGATGGAAAATAACAACGCATATATTAACACTTTCATATATTAACACTTTATATGAACAAGTGTGTTGCTTTAAGCTGAGATCCTGCGGCTGTTGAGGTAGATCTCTTGCGGGGTTGCAAGTTTACCTGCAGAGCATCAAGGCGTGCCTGCCTGTTTTGCTTCTCCATGTTGTACTCCTCCCTGCCGCCAATGACGGCGGAAATCTTTTGCTGGAGTTCATTCTGCACATAAATCCGCAGTCACACCAAGCCCCTCCTCTAAATTAACCCATATAAATCCTTCCGAAGTTCCCCCCCCAGAAGCAATGCCTCTGAACACTGAACACGCCCGCTTCCTCGAGCAAGATGCACCGCCTCCAGAGTGTTGACAAGAACATTATACTCGTTATACACTCTAAAACCCACACACTAACAGCTCATACACAGCCGCCGGCACGGTGTGCATGCGGCCCCTGGAGAACTTGTATGGAAACCTGATCGCCAGGCAACACGAAGTAGGCGCCAACGCCCCACCCCGAACATTCCGTCCTTGTACAGATCATTGAAAATTGAAAGGTATTATGGATCTACTAAATGAGCAAAGCCGGTGTTCCTGGCTGCTCGCATGCAGGCAACTGCTTCTGCAGACCGCCTGCGGCGAACTGACTTCACGCTTTTAACGCTCGCCCGATTGCACTAGAAGCACAAACGGGGGAGGAAAATGATGCATACGGCGGTACGTTTCTGCGGAAAGGGCTGCCGACGTACGATTTTCGCCTTCAACTCATCAATGGCCGCTGTCTCGGCTTGGATGCGGTCCCTGTAGAGCTTCTCATCCGGCTTGGGCACAGGCTCCAGCTTCTTCGTCTTATCCACTTTCCCCGCCATTTTGTCTGGAGCTGGCCTTGCTTCGCCTAGGAAGCTCTAGAGAGCACAGAATGCACTGTTGGCGAGAGGTCGGCGCGTGCGGGGAGACTGGAAGCGGCGCCTGTCGACGCAAACCAGACTCTGACGGACACAGATGGAGTTATATTTATTGTGAAGAAAACGGTAAAAGGTACTTCTAGAGAACTTTCGCACGCAAGAGCCGAGACAGGTACAACTCAGCCAGTGCAAGCATTCAGGGGAGGGGTTGCTCGCAGCCCCCGACGCTCATCGCATACTCTGGAAGCTGCTCAACTTTACTTGGGGCTTTTATCGCTATCACATCTCCCCTTCTAGATAATCCATTACCTTCCACGTCTCATTCCTTCTCATGAGACTACAGCACCCAAAACACGTAGTGCCTGGGCGGTCTTCTTGTCTACCTCCGCTCCACGTGGAGCACGCTACAGCAGTATCGCTAACTTTTACTAAATACTTAAAACAAGCACATGCACTTAGATAAAGAAACAACTTATTTCTTGGCAACTGTTGCCGTTGGCTGCAGCCTTGGTCCTGTTTCACCCAGGGCATCGTCATGCATATTACGCTACCTTCAGCATTACAGCATTGTGTGTGTGGAGCTGCTCTCTGTATTCCAAACTGTGTTTAGGCAGACACTGAGGGCCAAGTAAGTGCTCAACATTCTTCTATAGTGTTCATCCGTGCAGCTATAGCGCTATTTTGTGCATACAAGCGAAGCTGCATCGCAGCACGAGTTCCAGCAGGCTGCGTTGCAACACGTGTCAAGCTGCCTCCTCTACCCCTGCACCAGGCCCTTTAGCCTCCGGTGTCGCGCTGCCTGGGGGAAGGAGAAGATGCCAGCTGTTCCGTTTAAATTTTGACTCGGTTGCAGCTCACAGCTCTCCAGATACGAACGGTGACAATCGTTAGGAGCATGGCCTCCCTTAAGTAGGTATCTGTACTTCTACTTATATTTACGATTGCTACTAAGGGTAGCCTGGATGCGGTACTGATGCAGCAGTAGCGCATCCAGGGGAGCACGGCAATGCTTGCATCTGAAGTCTTTGACCAGGAATTGCAAAAATGTGTAGTGCAACGCATGACAGGCCGCTTCCTCTCCGCACTTAACTCAGGCCTTTTGTTGGTGTAATTAGGACTCTTGGAGACTGGGGTGGAAGCCAGCTGCTTCTTGGAAACTCTTACCGGAAATCTTTGAAACTATTGCAGGTTACGACGCTCCTCAGCTAAGCTCTATCGTCCCACATGATAACATCGCATGGGTAAGGAGGGCAGGTGTGAGCTGCAGAGCAGCACCCCCACAGACATATGGGCTGGAGCAGGGAGCTAGTTAGTCGTGAAGGCGCTGTGCTTGGGAAAGGGGAGAAATCATTAGATGTAGTGAATACTCACTACAATCGCGGCAACATTGCCGTGCTCTCTGAGCAGGAGTGAGAATTGCTCAAGCAATGGAAATGGATGTGAGTGCATATTGATATCTATTGAGTAAGCACTGAGTGTGCTAGTTATTGTATGCAAAATAAAGTGTTTTGCTATGACTATGCGATACGCTGGCATGAGACTTTGTGCAAAAAGGTGCTGCAATATAGCAAGCCGCCTCCTCTCCCAGCCCCTACGGCTGCGTTGCCGAGTCTCCTGCGGATGAGAACAGAACAAATTTTGTGGTTTGTTGGCTTTTCTTTGTTCGCCGAAACAGATGAGATGCTTGACTTCCTGTGGCTCATTGAAGTTACTGGATGTTGTCAATCAGTTTATGCCCCCCGACCCGTTATACTCGACAGTGGGGATTGAGGGATGTTCTCAGCAAATGACCTTTAGAAGAACAGCCTATTATTCAGTCATGCGTATTGAAAAAATTACACTAAAGTGGGAGGCTATTCATTAACGTGAACTAAATCAGGCAAAACAAGGCAGGGATTGAGGGCTCAGCTCACATATCATCAGCTTCTTTAGCCCGCAGTACCTCCATTGTTAATGTTCCATAATCCTCCTTCGTGTGAAGGGACTTAGATCTCTACTGGAACCTACCGTTTGGTTTTCGTTTCCGTTTGTACTGTCGGTGGGGACAGAAGAAGTAAAGATGCGGACATTCTGTGTTGCACCCGCAGATGAGGCTGGGGTTCAGTTTCGAGGGCACTATGGTACATATGGCCACGGCATCCCCTTATTTGGCTAGCTATAGGGGAGTTCCTCACATTGCATACACTCGCTGAAGCCGTACCATCAATTGCAGCATTATCATTACTTCAATTGGATATTTCTCATTATATGGGGAGGGAGGACAGTTGTGCCAATAAAGCAATGACATCGCTTGTCGGGAGCGCTGCCAGTCTATTGAAGCATTTTGATATTCGTTCCAATTGTGGGATATTCCCAGGCCGGGAACGGCTGGGAGGACAATTAAAGAAGCTTACACAAAGGAAGGTGCCCCTAGAACCCTACATGGAGCAGCATCAGTGCTTGGAGAGCATAGGCCCAACGGTGGACTCGGAACGTCTATGTCAAGGTTTCAGAGCATGGGGCTATCTTGGACGAAGGGAATCTGCGAATTACTGGACTGCCGCCTTTAGTTCTTTTTCTTCACAAGCATTGCGTTGTGTCCCATCTTGCTGTGTGACCATTGAACCTTGCCTTTTCATAGCAGATCATCTTCTTGGTGCTCAATTTCCTCTTCAAGGTGTCGGGGCCACCACTAACTTAGAACGAAGCTTGGGGCTGCTCAAGGGCTGGACTCAATGGGATGCATTGTGCGCCCAGCAGGTGGCCTTCCCGCTAGTACCTCTCTGCTTTTTTCATACATCTGAGAAGTGTCCCTTCATTTGTACTAACTTCTGCTGTTCATCAGGTTTCGAATGGGCCGTATGCAGCAAAATTACTGTATAAACAAGAGCAGCACGACGGAGTGCAAGCACTTCTCGTCGAGAAGAGTGGAGGTGCTGTCCCAAGGAAAGAGGGGCGAAGATGTTCCTGCGCAGCTCCACTTCGCACGAGCATATTCGTCACTCTTTTCTTGGTAAATCACTTCCACTCCTTTGATTGTAGAGAAGACAGACGCTGTGGTGGGCGGTGAGAGCTCCATTCTTTCATTCCTTCCCCGCACATGGATCGCCATAGCATCGTCTGGGGGCAACAGGGCTTCCTGTAGCATGGTGAGATGAACTATTTCTGAATTAAGCTACCATTTTCCGCCTAATGCTTGCCGATGTTAGGCTCCTGTCTGCGGTCTGCCCAGCGTAATCTGAACGACTATAGGAGCAAATTGACACATAGACTGCACCTCGTCGCCGTAGCTTCAGATATCAGTTACACTTCGAAGCCAGTGTCATGTGGTTCTAACAACTGCTGAACATTAGTGAAAATTTCGATAAGCAAGGAGTTAAACCAAAGCGAATCTGCGGGCGAGGCTCTCACCTCTTCTTTCCCCTTCATTGCACCGCTCCTTGCATCGGGGCCAGGGCGCTTCGCTGATTGCTCTGTTTGCTCCGCCGCCATTACCTTATTTCTTTCCATGCGCCTGCAGCTTCGAGTTATGCGGGCCAGGGGGGTACAAATTAAACGCATATAGGCAGGCCACCAAGGCCTTCTGAATGCCGAATTCAACGTACCCCATCGTCCTTGCTTCTTGAGCTTATGAGCTTATCTGGGCAGGGGTGGTCGGCCTGCTCAGGACTCCTGGAAACTGAAGGTGGCGAGAACTGCTCTTTTCTGCTCTCACTCTGACTATTTCTGACTCTACTGTAGCTCACTAAGGTCCACAGCTAAGGCCTGCTATCCTCATTACACACATTACAGGTAGAGCATACATCCGCAAGATGTATGGCTGGAGTGACTCACGTATGCGGTCACGCTGTAACCTAATAAGCAAATTCTCCAAAGAACCGAGAGAAACTTCACTGGATATCATTCTTGTCATCAGCCCCACAAAGGTAACAAATATTCACAAGAGCAAAAGGTGACCAACATGCGGAAATTGGCGGCGCGAACTCCGCCACAATTTTGTAATGATAGCATTGTTATAAGCTAGCATGCTCTAGTTATATTTAAAGTTCTTTGAAGCTTTTAATCTGTATAACGAGAAACACAGAAAAGCACAGTCAACCAACCGCCGCTGGTCTGCAGTGCCCCACTGCTCCAACCCCACCGTGCTTCCGTGGTACCCCTGGGGGGCACACGGATCTTTTGGGCCGCTTTCTCCCCACATTTCTCGGGCTTTTGCCTTTTTATGTTTAGGATTCTTTATTTTCTACTTCTTAGAAACTATTTTTACGCAGGAGAGCGGATATTCCGCAGCGAGGGCTTGGGTCCGCTGACGACGCCCTCCTACTCGGTTGTTGATTCTTGCATAAATTCCAGCACAGGGCGCTTTTTCGCCTAATATTTGTAAGGCTTAAAGTATTTTCGTGCATTTCAACGCGGGAATAGTTCAAATTAGCGGGGGAAATGAGCAAGACAATCCCCTCATCAAGACATGGATTCAGATGCTCGCCCTCGGTTGTTGCACCTCCAGTGGTTTAGATCTACTCTTTGCACGTCCCACATCCTATTATTTTTGCTTTTGGGGCCATATTGCACGTATATGAGACTATATGGGTGTATTTGCCATTGTATTATTCCTGGGGTTGCTGCCCCCCAGGACGTGTACAACCCCACCACCTGGCTTGCGGTGAATCGGGCCTCAATCCTCATAAAACCTCTTTCCCTCTCTCATTCTAAGAATAACCTTTGATTCCGTTTTTATGGTGTGCTCCTTCAGGTTCCTGGCGATACTCTGCGTCCACAGGTTTGCAGTGTCAACGGATATCTGTTGTGCATCACGAGGCAAGGGGCACAGCACCGTGATCACACACAATCAAGGCACTCTAAGTAAGGACCGCTGGCTTTTTCTCCGTAAGGAATACATCGTTCTGGCATACGACTACTACAACAGCGTGCTTCTTGGATTCAAAGGTTTTCAAAGATTTTTTTGTGTTTCACCGACGCAGGCCCCACATTGTTTCCTACATCTCCATTGTCACCAATGGAGAACGCAATTGCTTCTCATGAACGCAGAGTACGTGATCTTTAGTTCGGGACGGCATGCTATTCATGCTTGAATTGACACCCGCCAAATGACAAATTGAATACTTGTTGTCTTTCCTTTGCAGCTCCAAAATATGAGTCAGGATTTGGCGTTCGTGGAGCAACAGCTGATTCGCGCCATGGCAAAGCCACAGATGGACCAGTCGCTGTCGCATACGCTGTTAAAGCTGCGCGCGCTCCGTGGAGTTGTATCTGAAATCGTTGCCAGGCACACAGTGGGTTCTGATTCATTCCCTTTATGGGTGAAGACTTCGAGAAACTGTTCAGCAAAATTTAGTTTCGTTGCTTATAGCCGCAAAATGAAGTGTACGTAGCACATCTGTCCTGGTTAATGCGATCGTCTGCTGCTGCAATTTTGCAATTTGCATCCGTGCAATTAATACGCAGGAGGTGACCTCGGTCTGGGCCAGTATAGCTGCCGCTGCTCGTAGTCAGGCTTGCTGTCTGCAATACCTACAAACTCTCCGCGTAAGGCTGGAAGGCTATTAACCTCAAGCACCCTTCTCGGAAAGCACATATCACAGCAAGGCAGAAATCAGAAAGCGGGTCAGGAAGCTTATCGGCATGAAAAAGCTGTATTTCTTCTCAGGCAGTGGCTGAAGCAAATGGATGTTTGCCTCATCAGTCCGTTTGCTCGAACCCTTCTACAAGGGAGTTCGCCGAATATTTTTGGTCGCGAGACTTCCCTCTCCACAATACTAAGTGAGTTATGTACACAACAAGAGAGATGTTGCGTGCCAAGACAGGGGTGGCATACAGCTTTATCTTGAGCTTAGTATCCTTCGATGTCCCACCAATGTACTAACAGGCCAATCCCCCCAGCAGTTCCTGATGCCGCTGGTCACCCGAGCAGCAACGTGTCATCACCGAGTAGCGCTTTGGGTGAGGACGAGCTTCCCCCCGTTGAAGAGAGCCGGCCGGCATCTGGACAGGTGAAGTCATCTCTTTGGTGTCACACTGACCCCCGAGTTCCACTTTGAAACGCCTAACGCTTGCCATGTTGCAAGGCATTTTCGAGCTCCATTATCCATTGTATTAATCCACCCCACACCACCAACCGAATCCACAACAACACCACCGTGGGCTGTTTTTCTGTGAAACGCAGAGACAGAATGCCTCCGCCGTGCCGACAACAACGGACCTAAGGAGCTCCTGATAGCGATGTAGAGCAAGCGCCACCAAAGGCTTCCGTTGCTCTGCACAATAGGCAAAATGCAGCTGACCTGAGTGTTCTCATGGTTGTTTGTCTCATTTCACATGTGTACTATTGTTTCCGTTATCACTGTGGATGACTAACTTCCGTTTTGTCGTCTATTTCAGCTATCTTGGCACACTGAAGGAGGTACCCCTCCACTGAAGGTGCGGGGAGCTGCTGAGGCTTGTGAGACTCAAGCAACTGCAGTCCAAGCTCCCCCCGCCACCCATAGTCATGTGTTTAGGGTGTTTATTTCTCATATGAGCGGCTCGTCTGGGCTGCCCCACGCATCGTTCTTGTGGGAGGGGGATACTCAACACGCAGAAAAGTGACGCACAAATCAATATCCCTCTAGTTGTTTTTTGCGCCCCTATTGTGCAAACTCGGTTGGCGACCACCTCAACTGCATGGAACTTGCAACAATGGACCATTTGAAAGCTGTTACACTGGTTTGGAAGCTTCCCAAATGATACACCGTGCTGCAGGTATGCATGCACGCACATGACTCTATCAAACAGCATTCTACAGAGCGGTGCAGCAACAAAGCCGAGCATTAAGCCTCGTGCTGCTTCAAATTCGAGCCCTCCCAACCCTTGGCCAACTCCCGCAGATGCTCGGCGGATGCTTCGACTTTCTGATAAGCTTCTTCAACCTTCTCCTGAGCAAAAGACAGCACAGGTCCTTCCTAGTCAGGAAATGCACGTTTGCATAGATATCAAAGAAGTACATCAGCATACCACATACACCATCTATATCTCAGAGATGCGACGAGCCGCAGACGTAATTGACCCTTCACAACGCCAAACTGGCCAGTGAGAAACTCAAAGTGAGGCATAGGAAGTGGTAGAAAGCTGCCTCAATTGGTGAGCTGCCTTGCCGTGCCCGCGCGATACCCTGATGCGCACGCAGACCTTAAGCTGCAACTGCTTTTCTGCATGAGATCTGCATACCTTGCAATCGCTGGGCAAGGCGGTCGTAAGCGCCTGTACCGCTTCACGGTGTTTTTCTAGGGCCTTCTTGAAGGCGATGACTGATGAGCTGGCCTCGGGGACCGTCTCTAATAAAGCAAGAATATCTTCCGCATGTTGATGCATACTTTCCTTCCACCGTTTCTCCTGCCCTTGCGTCTTCCTCTGATTCAAACTTGCCTGCGGATTCGCCCCCCTAGCAGTAGCCACAGACTCCAGATACAGGCCTGCACAGGCGCAAATTATTTGTACACAGCACAGTAACTAAACACGGCTAGCTTTCCTCTACAACTTTTGCAGTCCGCAGATGCGGTGTCTTCACTAGAACGATTCAAACCGCAGCATGCAAATTCATCCTGCACTTACGCCCTTCACAAATGATTGCCTCTGTCTTGCGCAACAGTTCTTTCTTCACGTGCCCAAATGCGCCACGAAGTGTTGCAGCTGTCGCCTCCTCCGTAGTGGAGAGTCTGCCGGGGAGGAGGCAAAAGACGTCACACACATAACAAAAAGAGCTTATGTATCAACTTGAGTTGCATGACTGTCTGATCGGAGAGAATCTTGCTCATAACAGCACCTGGATGCACTGTAAAACAAAAGCGATGTTTTTACGTATAGCACGCCTCACCTCAGCTTCCACCGGTACAGGGTAATGGCTGCAGCGATGATGAGTACAATGAGAAGCAAAACAAACGCCATTTTTACGTGTTCTGAATCTACAAAGTACGGGTAATCGAAAGTCACTGTCAAATAGCGCCTGGTGTGCTGAGGTGGAGTAGGAGAAGCAGAGTGCCACTTCACTTGCAGAGCCGGCCTCCACGTGACAACATCGAGCCACCACTTTACGGTGGTCTCTTCCACGGATTCAAAATCGATCGGCGATGAATATTGGATGTTAGTAGCGCCTGAATCAAACACACGCCGTCCATGAGCACAGCATCCATCCACAAAACTGTGAGGCTAACGCCTAGAAGATGCTGTACACCGCAAGGGAGCCAACATGCTATATTGTGCACTGCCGCAATCGTGAGCATCCGTACCGGTCGGCAGGGCAACGGTGAGTGAAATATTCTCAGTGTACACATCCAGGAAGGGCGGTTCCAGTGGAATGTTCAAGGAGATAAGGCCGTCCTTTTGCTCCTGCTGCAGCATCAAAGAGCTAACTGGCATGTCATAAGATACCTTTAAATCAAAATTCCACCCCCCAAGCACCGGAAACCTAGGCCACACCTGCGCAGTGCAATAGGCAAAAAGCACATACCCATATCCCGTTCACTTCCCGCCACCTTGCTACCTATGGCGCCCTTAAGCCAATATTGCCTCCGAAATGGTGTAGAAGACTAGCTGTACAGCAGAAACGTGATGCTTTGATGCTTTGAACATCTTCTACTTTGATACTCAGGGGTAGCTGTGGCACCCTGTCAAGTAAACGCGAATCTAAGAGTGGTTGGGAGCCAAGAACAAGCATCGTGAGGTAGCTAATACAGCAGAAAGAAGTAGCTTTGTGAGAAGGCTCATGCAATATCCAAGTTGAATATGCGCGGCAGCTGTTGCAACGGCTGCATTGATCACCTCAAGGTGCGTGGAAAGAGGAGCTTCCTTAGGACCATCCCGGGCTGCAAATGTGCTCGTCAAGTTCCCTGCTGAATCCCCCACATCTAGGTTGAAAACATCAGGAGGCAGTGTTGCATGCAACTCGAACAACACATGCGTTGGCACGCGTTCACCTCGCGGAACATCCTTGCTCTTCGCGGCTAGCCTGGAAATACCTGGCGGCAGCCCTTGCAGCAATGCTATGGTGATCGGGTTGAATGGACCCTGAGGCAGTGCGATCCAGACACAACCGTACGAGAGACAGACAGATATCTTGCACCAAACTTTTTAAACAGTGCTAACCGGCATTGAATGTGTCAACACTATACTTGGACTAAGCGATGTAGAAGTGCACGCTTCGATGCATCGCCGACCAAAACTATGGACTGTTGAGATTGCATGCAGCATAATGTAGGATATTCTGGACCGCAGCATACTGAGCGATCTCCATTTTGTTGGGGGGAAGTTCAAGGCATTCAGGTTCGCCGTTGGGGATATAGCTGGGGTAAATCTCGTCTGCGGGCCTACCTCCTGCAGTGCAGCATCGTTGTGGACTTTGTAGAGGTCCGTGAAGACCGCAGATCCGCTGAGAGGGGCAACCAGCAACCGTTCCATCGACAAGACATAACCGAGATGTACAGGTAGGGGGAAGATGACGGCAAATGGCTGCGCAACCTTCAGGGGGTCAATTGGGTCGGTAGACTCCCACTTCCACACCGCTTCCGAAATCCTGCGAAATGACTTCTAAAGTCCCAAAGACAACACCAGAAACCGAAAAGACAAACAATGGACTATGAACATGCCCAGATGATATGAAAGGAGAATCATGTAGGCGTACGAAAACAAGCGCTACCTTTCTCCTCCTTCAGGTGACTCGCATTCCAAGAAGGCCGGTTTCGGCGGAATGCTGCATCACTACCAATATATTGCTGCGCAGCGACGGCATATAAATCAAGCAACCCTTTCCTGACTTTGCCAAGGCCTGTTGGGTCCCATTCAGTCCCTCTGGCATATCCCTTAATGCTGTTCTTCGTCAACTCACCTTCCGCATGTGTTGTTCTCCCGCTTCTCCAAGAGTTGTTTGGGGGGGAAGCTGTATGGACAAAGCGCTTCGCAACGTCTTATAGGGTAGAGGCCAGTTTGAGGAGGTCGCGAACACCACAGACTGAATCGAATCAAGGTCTAAAGAACGAGGCAAAGGACGGTAGGGACGGCCTGCACCAATAGCAGCAGAAGTAGCACTGAGAACTTGAAAGGGCGCACAAACTGAAAGGAAAAGATTCAACGTGCGTGTGCAGGACAGAAGCAATCACGCATCATCAGATATTCGTGGCACGGATAACAACCGCACTAGCGAACAACGACTGCCAGCGGGAGTCTGTGTGAACTGCAGTCAGCAGCAAGTTGAACAAAACAAACAGCTGCAGAATACAAGGCGGTTTCGGCTGGAATTCCGCGTTCCCAAAGTCATTTACATTATTTAGGTCCCTCTGTCTGTGGCTAAGATCTCTGTTGCAACTGAAAATTAGTGTAGAAGCAGAGTAACTTGGAGTAGGGTTGATTTGTGACGGACCGAGAACGTAAGACACAGTTAGTGTTACAGATTTAGAGACAGGCAAAGGCTCTTTTAGCTGCAAGCGAAAGAGATGAGGCCAGCAAGGAGAGACAAAGGCTTTGCCTTCTCCCTCGCTGGACTTCTTGAGGTGGCGTTCTGTTTGCTCTAAGAGCAGCCGCGTCCGACCCCAGTCTTCCCAACGTAGAGTAGATATGCTAGGGAGCGGGGGCACCACTGACTGCAGTGCTAGTTGTTTTCCATTCTCAGTTGATGCAGTTATCCATCCGAGCTGAACACCAAAAACCCACAAATGCATGCAAAAAAACACAAACGCATGAACTAGCATGTCAGGGTCATTTGTCGCTAGTGTTGCTGTTGGGTGGAAGAGTGATAGAAGATAGAATAAATGTAAAAGACTTCAATAAACCCTAATCATACCTGTGTAGCCTCAGAATAAGGTAACAATATAAACACAGTAGAGACAGATGACGCCCCCCGATTGGTGAACTTTAGCTTGACGGTTACTTCCGCTAGTCGGCCGAACTTGATGGATCGGTCAACCTGAGAAGCCGCGAGATAATGGCGACCACAAGTAAATATGAAATATCCCTCTCCCGATATATTTGAATTCAGCATGCATAGTGCGCATAGGGTACAAGAAACACTCAGGTGGGGCAGCGTCTGGGGCATCTCAGCTGCACAGGTGCAGAGCTACAGCAGAGCATAAACACGTCGGTAAGGAAATAGAGCATCAGCTGTCCATTTGTATTCTACCTCTTCAGCGATTAAGCCAGACTGAGTGGCCTGAAACAGAGCCTCCACCGTTGCATCCTGCAGCAGACGCCGACTTTGGGAAGACTGTAGCTGTTGCAGCGCGAGCAGCAGGTGCTGCTGTTGTGCCAGATGATGGAGAGAACACGCGGTCGAGTCAAATGGACGCGGGAGGGGTAGAGACACATCTGCTGTGCTCGCGATATCAGTCTCGTCGAATGAATACTCTCCATACACAGATAGGCCCATTCGCAGCAGTACAAGCAGCAGCAACAGGAGCAGCGGTAGCCCCTTGTGGAGGCCGACAATATGCGGAAAAAATCTTCGTCTCATCACAGCAGCCGCATTTCTGTGAGTGGAAGAAGCATTGTTTGATTGGCTGTCTGACGCAGGACACTGGCACCGCATGGCTATGCGATCCAGCTGGGTCACCTGCATCCTCCGATGGAAGCAGCGCAAGGACTGCAGCAGCTGGCTCTTCGTAACCCAGCGTCCCCCTGGGTCTGGTAGGCTTAACCCTCTGTCTTATGCGTACAAAGGCGAGCCCCCCAAAAGATATCCAGTCTTAGCCCTGAAGGAAAGGCCGTTCCATGCGGTGATGGAGACGGGGAAGGGTCGGAGACGGAGAACGGAGCCCCCTGGGGCCCTGTGCGAGCAACTAAGGGGTATTGCAGACGAATAAGATGCAATCTGCATGTACACTGCAAGCGCCGGCCTCGAAACCGCTGGTTGAGGCTAAGCTAGTAAGGAGCGGGGAGTCCCGCTTCGCTGCGGTTGTAGACCCCAGGAACCTTATAGATCTCGTCCTGGGCATCTACCTCTGTTTGAAGGGTACACAGGAAACCTCATCGGAAAGAACCCAATGCTGCAATCAGCTACACTGCAGATCTAATGGGGCCCCCAGCAAACAGTGCCGACTGCAAGTCCCGATCCACTGAGACAGCCGACAACAGGGCTTCAGTATCAGTCGGTGCCTCCGTACCCCCGTATTTCCTACTAAACAAAGCGCACAATTCCCCTTTCTTAAACTAATGAAGATAACAACATTTGCATTTGATGAGAAGAGTTGTTGTCTGGAGCACGCTGGGGCTAGAGGAGGCCATGGGGCCCCCTTGTAGAGTCGTCGTAGGGGGCCTCACCCTAGGCCTGAATATGAGCAGGGCGGCTTTCTTCGTGGGCGCAGAATATCATTGAAGTTAGGTATTCAGTCGGGTGGACATTAAGAAGACCAAATCGAACTCTTGTTACTAAAAGTATTAGTGTACACGCTCAATAACTCGCGCCCAGTGACCCTTGCAGAGGAGAAGCTGAGAAACACTAACTGGGGTTGGGCGCTCCGGCGCCATGCTCTAGGGGTTTTCTGGGATCAGGCATTAGCAAAGAAAATGACTGACGGAGGAAATTAAGATCCTTACCGCCAGCTTCGCTGCATGCATCTTCGCTGTTCCTGTTCTCGGTTTGACAGGCACAGGAAGCGGCCTTTATTCCCTCTCCACCTTTCCTTGAAAGAAACAACGTCGGTTTTTGCTAGAGGGAAGAGGCAGGCGAAGGCGGGAGACCATGGCTTCCCCCGGGGCTTCACCCCACTGCTTCCTCTCCCCATCGATTCGGGTTCTCCCGGATGTGGGTGGAGGTAAGGGAGCAGGGATTGTTGCGAGGGATTTCATAAAAGCGGGTACGTTGCTAGCTCGGCAACGCGATCCACTGGTCTGGTCTGCTCGCGTTACCCCGGACTGCCCGTGGGGTTTGGGCGCAGCTGCCTCAGAGGCATCACGTTCACCTACCTTCCCTTCAAAAGAAATGGGCAGCAGAAGCGGCAGCAACAACAGCTACGCAGTCACTTCATGCGATGGATGCCTCTGCCCCTATGATCACAGCCGCAACATGTACCCAGCAACAGGAAGCAGGAATGGGACCTCAGCCAAGCGATGCAGCGCGTGCAAGGTCGTCTCTTACTGCAGCACCGACTGCCAGAGATTAGCGTGGAGCCGACATAAAAAAGAATGCGCCCTCTTCAATCGTAAGTTCGGGAAGGAAAAATGGCCCTTCAGCTGCTTTCTTCAGCTTTGAGACCCATATAGTTTTGTTGAACTCAAATTGCTGTAGAGGAGGAAGTGCTTGTACTGTCAGGTATGGCAAAGACCCCCTCATTTGATCACCTCTGTGTTGTGAATGCGAATTTCGATGCTTCCAGATGTGAGGAAGTCTTCTGGAGGCAGAGGCCCAAATCTAACACAACGGTTGGTGCTGCGGCTCCTGCTGAACGGCCAATCGTTAGAAGAGTTTGCTGGCGGGCACTCCCCAGCTGCAATAGCAGCAGCAGCAGCAGATGAAGAGACGGAAACAACAGCCTCTCCAGCGGCGACGGATGCAAGTACAGATGCACTCAACGATGGATCCGGGTGCGAATGCAGCAAGGGGGAGCAAAGTCCCCGTTCTGCTGCTCTGTCCGACCACTTGAATGCGTGCGCTGCATCTGCTGCCCTTCTGGAGGGGTTGCTGCGCTCAGCTGAGTCGTTGCCCGGAGGCCTGCAGTCTTTGGGGCTGCATGCTCTACCTCGCCCCGGTGAAATAGCAATGCTCCTCGGTCGCCTTTCCGCCAACGTGCACTCTATAACGAATTCGGGGGACGCCGGGGCATCCGGGGCCTCTCCTTCAGGGGCCTGCCCATGCTGCGATATCGGAAAAGAAGTAGCACTTGGGCTTTATGGCCAACCGGTCTGTAAATTCAACCACTCTTGCTTTCCCAATGCTGCCATTGTGTTCGGGGGCCCCCAAGGGTTGCAGGAAATAGCTGTCGTTGCCTCTCGGTCAATTGCAAAAGGCGAAGAGGTCTGCGTTTCTTACGTATCCCCCGCCGCTGTGCGACAGGAGAGGAGGACTAAGCTATACCTTGGCTATGCATTCACTTGTACATGCGTACTTTGTTGCTCGTGCAGCGATAGAACGCACAGCAGCAGCAATGACAGCACCCATGGGAACAGCATCTGCAGCAGCAAGGGCAGTGCTGAATGCGGCGGAAGCAACACCACAAGCCCTTCCAGAAGCGGGAGTAACAACGGCATCAACAGCAACGCAAAAAGGAGCCAGCCTTGTTCCGTTTCCTTCTCTCCATCCGAGGCGTTTGATTTGCAGCTGCGTGCAATCTTCTGCCCCAAGCCTCCTTGCGTTTCTCTACGGAATACAGCAGAGGCAAATGTTCTTCTTAACCTAGAGAATAGCAACCAGGAATACTCGGAGAGTATCCGCCATTGTGGGGATGCACCCTCTGAGAACGCCTCCGGCGGATCAAGCAGCAGCTGCGCAGATGCGATAAGCCCTAAGGGGCTTGAAAGGGCTGCCCGCCTTCGGCGGTTGCAACTGCCGGTACTTTGTATCCAGAGACGGGGAAAGGACACATGGGAGCCGGTGCAGATCTGTACAAGCGATACGACGCCACAAAAAGCTATCGCAGAGGGGTCTTCAACTCAGTGTAACCCCAGTATTAGACTCGTTCCAGAAGAACTGGAACAATTGGCGTCTGGCAGTGGGCCCACTCATGTGGTTCCACCTGTACCGGACATTCGTTGCTCCGCGTGCGGTGATATTTACCAAGCTGGAGATATTGTGCGTGTACTGGGGATCATGAAGAAGTTGGACGAAAGCGCTCAGCGCCTGTCTCAAGCTTGCTGCATGGAAGATAGTGAGGCAATTGAATTGGAGGGGAGGGCCGCTTTAAAGCTGTTCTCTGCAATTCGGGCATATGTACATCCCGGAAACCTATGCCTATTAAACGTCGCAGAGAGCCTCAATCGTTCGTGCAAGGGACTCGCTGCACTTTACAATGGCGTCGGGCTGACTGTTTCCCAGCATCTCTCCCGCGCTGCTGCAGCGCTGCACGGCCGGTGCAGCACCCAGCATGCAGACCTGTTGCTGACTGAAGGTTCTCTCCTGCATTTTCTTTCCCAAGCGGATACCGAGGAGGAGGCTCTGCAGGCCTGGTCTCTGTGGGCCGAAGGAGATCCTGAAACGGCAGCAGCCGTAGGCGCAGGAGGAGGCGCATCCGTTCCAGACCCAGGCGAGGGTGAGGCCGGCTGTGGAACGCGAGCCAAGTTAGCATTGCAGGCTCGCGAATGCCTGCTGCAAGCATGCAGTATTTTCTTTTCGTATGAAGGCTGCTGCGCAGAGAGGAAAAAAGGCCGAGTTGCAGAGGGACGGATTGTTGACTGTGAAAGGGAACTGCAGGCTTTGGGATTTACTTCTTAGTGAGGACAGCACAGCTCCCTCCTCAGTAACTTTCTAGTTTGCAAACATGCCCTCCTCACTGCTGGTTCATTTCTAATTTATGCTGGCCACGGCCTTGTTGGACACACTGCATCTGTTTTGTTCCCTCCTGAACTGTGAAATACAAGCCGGCGGGGGATAGGACACGAATGAAGAACTTAATTATGCAGAGCGCAGGAAACGGGTAGTCCTCGCAAAAGTTCAGCATTAGCAACGATGTATGTCCCGTGTTCCTCTAGTATCTTCTGTTTCCCCGTCAGCCCAAAGAGTTTCAAAATATCAGTCAGCGTTGGCGCATCTACTGAAAATTACGGCCTTCTGCATTTGAATGGATAACGACTCGAGTTTATGAAAAAGGCTCTACGTGGCCCTGTATACGCACACAACTAGCGGACTGTGGTGCTACAATGTCATTTGACATAAGCTTCCTCTCTTCGTAATGAAAAGCCATTTCGCTTGATATTAAACGGGGTTGGCCGACGAGTATGCTGCGCCCAAAGGTCCATGGTTCAGCATACACACTACCAACCCGGAGAACTGGTTTTTCTCCAAGTAGGCAAGAGGCTAGGCGAAGTGCCTGCTCTTCGAGATCGACGGGAAAAAACGGGTACACAAGCCTACTTAGTTACAACAGACGACAGGGGAGAGGCCACCAGAGGCCGCCTCTCTCGCCCCCAACACAATGCTTGTGTTCGCTGTACTCGCAAGCTTTCTTCGTAGGTAGACACATTTGGGGGAATCGTCGGCGTACTTTCCTCCTTTTCCTTATTCCCCTTTAGAGTGGAGGTAAAGAAACCCCTCCAGTAGTGCCCTACTTCGGGACATTCTTCATCCAACGACATAAAGATGTGTAGAAGTTGGGAGCATACTGTGTGCGTTTAACGTACATGTAGTCAAGACATATATCAAACCTGAGAAACGAAACACAACGCTTACACCTAAACCCTAAACAACCCCTGACCGGGCCATGAACCCACAGCACCATAACCTGTTAGCGAAACTATTACTGCACTGCCGAAGCCACTAAGTGTGAGGTCGCCGGAGAAAGTACGAAGGGTATCAGGGTTCCAGGCTTGGGTCTTTGTTGCTTGCCATTCCTTTCGTCTTGGTACAGTCAATGCTGCAAATGAAAGTGAGGAGCCGGCGAGCCAGCACAGCGTTGAGCTCAGACGAGATCCTGAGAATGAACGGACAGCACAGAACGAAAAATATGCATTTGCATTCTACACACAAATATCTCTGGCTACAACGACTGCTTTCACAGCGAAACCTTGGTCTATGAGTGCAACTTGGACCGGATCGATGAGCTAGGCAATCCGAACCAAGCTTGGGAGGCGAACAGTGGCAGCGCCAACAACAGGAACACTGGCAGACGACAGCAGCACAAGGAGGTGCATTTCTAACCAAATCCAGCGGATCCCATTCTCCACGGCTCAATTCGGTTCCCGTCATTTGCCGCCGCCACCCCGGCCGCCGTCTCTGTCCCCTTCTTCCCCACGGCCATTTCTGCAACTCCTTCGTCCTATGTTCTTATCCGTTTCTCTTCCTCTCTAACGATTGCTATCCTTTTCTGTGTTCCCCTTCGAATATGTAAGAGTATGGCTGGATAAGTGGGTAGGCGCACGACTCCCACAGACGGAAGAGCCTTTCGCTGAAACTGGCGCCAGCAAGGACTCTTCAGGATCCCTGCATCCTAAATGGAGCAATCACGAACATAACAAACAATTCTTAGTTCTAGACACTAGAGGACGTGGAACGGGCCTTCCTGCATTGCAAGCAGACAGCCCCATTGGCAGTACGTCTGGACAAACCCACAGCCCACGGATGCTCGGTCACAAGTGCTGGATATGGTAACACATATTTGTGTGTATACGATTGGCACGAATGCAATATTTGAACAAAAGGAAAACAATGTTTGCCACACTAGTAACGTCCCACCGTTACTGTGTTATTTCACGGTGATGCGATGTCTGCTGTGTGGCATGCTCAGCGTAAGGTAGCACAGGAACAACCACTTGGCCCTGGTAGGCTACCTGCAAGCAAATACAAATGTTCCATACGCGTCTGCAGAGGTAAATCATGCAGTAAAGGAAGCTTCGTCGAAGCTTCATTGTGTTCACATGTGAGGCTGGCCTGCATCGGCAGCTGCAGCGAGATGCACTGCAACACGTGTTATGTAACATGAGTTAGCGCAGAGTTAGCTCAGGAGCCTATCGCCAGCTTTGGCATGATGCGCGTAAGCGCCTGCAAACGATATACAAGTTCGTTATGAGGCAAAGCATGCAGCAAAGGAAGCTTCTC